GTGTAGTGGGAAGGACCATTGGAACCCAGGCCCTGAAACATGATGGAAATCTCCACATGTTCGCCCAAGAGGGCAGAGTGAGGGGTAGAGATCAGCATGGGTATTGGAGTCAAACAGGGGTGGGTTCACCCCCAGCTAAAGAAATCCCTGCTCCCTCTACAGACTGACCGTTTACATGGATTTATAGCTTCACATGAATGCCTGTGTGATGATGAAGAGAAACAAGTGTTTCTAATGCGGCACAGCCTACCTTGGACGACTGTTTGACCTCCAGTATTCCTGGTTGTTAGATCAAAGGTGATAAATTCTGTCTTTTTTCCACGGCGATTATGGGACATCAGTGTAATCCTGTTTTTCTTCTTTGGGTTCCAGCAGGCGGTGGTGCAGAGTTTATGTGGGAGAAAGGTAGACAGGGGAGCGCTGCCTTCTGATGGTCTCAGTAAGTCCTCTGCGAGGAACACCTAAAGCCAGCATCACGTGCGAGGTCAGGGGCAGGGAACTTACAGCCTCTCAGTACAGGAGTGACTCCGGAGGAGCCTTCTCAGAAATCCTCATCCTGTGGCCAAAGCTTTGTTCAACCTCTCAGGAGTGATGAGTAGTCACTGCTTGTCACTCCAACATTCAGGGAACTCACTGTCTTCCTAACCTTCCTGTCCTGTTCACAGAACAATGTCCCTGAAGCATGCCAAGGGGTTATGAAACCACCTTGCCATGTTGAACCCTTGGTCAAGCTGAGGTTGGCTAAGCAGATTTTCCCTTCTTGGGGAACAAGTCAAGGGTTGTGCGGCTTTTACTACCCGCCTTCTGAACTCCTCCCTCTTTGGTGCCCAGTCCACCGGTGCCACCCTACAAATGGCCTGCTCAAAGGCCAAAGGCCTCCTCAGAGTGACATTCGGGGGCTGATGCATAGTCACTTGCTTTTGGACTTCTCTATACTTTCCAGCCAACAGAGATAAAAGTAAAGTCAAGAAGGCCAAGGAGAACAACGTGAAACATCTTTTGGTAAAATAATAGATCAATAAAATTTAAATTAAAAAAAAATTTTTTTTGAGAGGCAGGGTCTCTCCATGTTGCCCAGGCTAGAGTCCCGTGGCTATTCACAGGTGCAGTCCCAATACTGATGAGCATGGGAGTTCTGACCTGTTCAGTTTCTCACCTGGGCCAGCTGACCCCTCCTTATGCAACCTGGTGGTCCCCTGCTCCCAGGAGGTCAGATACTGATGCTGGACTTAGTGTGGACACCCTGTAGCATCGCACACTACAGACTAGAACTCCGGGGCTCAAGCGATCCTCCCACCTCAGCCTTCCGAGTAGGTGGGACTATAGGTGCACGCCACCATGCCCAGCAATCGCTATTTCTTGATACCTGTCTCACCTGTCTCGCCCTTCTCCATCTCTGTGGCAAATCTGGGCTTCCTGAACTCGTTTTTGTTAACATTGGCCATGGCAACTGGATGCTGTTGCTTCAAAGAGCATTGCTTCCTGACTATCACAATGGATTCCTCTTGTGATGTGGTCTTAGAGAGGAGGGAGCAGTGCGCCCGGGCCTCACTGAGCTCTGCAGTTTCTCTGCACGCTTCCTAACTTGACATTCCCAACCTGAAGTTGGAATACACACAGCAGCACCTACCTGTGGAAAGGCACAACTGTATGTCCCACATGCAAACACCCATTTCTTGTCAGGAGAGCAGCGTAGAAGTACAATAGCACATTGAAATGCAGTAACTTTAGAAACATCCCTTAACTCAGGCAGTGTAAATGTGTAGATGTCACCTGTAGCGTCGCCAACCTGAAACCAAAGCATCCCCACCACGTCAACAGGAAGATATGTGAAATCCTGAAGTACACAGGAGGCAGCACTGTCAGCTGCAAGACATGCCACTGTTTCTTCAGTCACAGAATGGAGATCCAAACCCTGACCGGTCTAGCGTGAGACATTGTTGGGATAATCCCATGGAATAAAGCTTTCCAAGCCCCAAAGCATTCTTCTCAAGGACACTTATTCATTAGCA